GCATATCCCTGACGGTGCCGGCGACGTTAAAAGAGGACATATATATAGATTTATATATATATATATATATGCTTGTGTGTGTGTGTGTGTTAATGTTGATGTGTGCAGTTTAAGGAAAACATGTAAGCTGCCGTTTGGGATGAGCTTGATGGCGCAGCTTGGCAGATGGACGGGCCAACCGAAATGTCACAAGGTGAAGAGACCAACTAGTCTGACAAGAGGCAGTTAAGGAGAAGCCCATGCTATTGTAGACTTGTGCATGTGCCTCGAGGAGGTGCTGACCAACGGTGTCCAGAGACAGGCTTCCACTCCTCTTGTAACCTGGACGCCTTTGCAATCGTTCGGGTCTGTGAATGGCTCGTAGAGAAAAGGGCTAAAACTGCTGACAGCGCCAAGAATTTAAGAAAACTAAAGCTCCTACCGACATCACAGCGCAGATACATCTCGTTGAAGAGAAAGAGCTGGAAAAAGTTACTACTCAAAATGCATCCAAACACGTCAGTGTTCTTGTCTGTCTGTGTGTCTGTATCTGTGTGGTGTGTGTGTGTGTGAACAGGTGGGTGTAGATGATGAAAAATGCAGGAGTCGATGCAGGAGCCAAACACAATTGGGCTAATTTGATACGGGAAGAGATGAGCAAGCCTCTTCTGCCTCATCATCGTAGGTCTGTCCAACCAAACTGACTCAGTCCAGTTCGCCTTAGTGACGATGGAACAGCGATCAGAGACGAGACGAGAGGAGAGAAGAGGAGAGAATGCGAGAGTAGTGGATGGGAGAAAAGAGGCACTTGCAGACGGAGTCGAGTCAAGAGGGTGCCTGGTAGTGACTGTTTTCGAGGGAGACCTGAGGTCGTGACTGTGGCCAACCAAAGTTCAGTGCTAATGGGCTCGAACGGGGTTCAGAAAGGAGTGTCTCAACGGCCCGACTCCAGTCCGTCCAGCAAGCTGTCCGGATCTGTCTGGTCTACTGGGTCTGCCAAGGTGATGGGGTCTCGAAAGCGTCGGATGGACCGATCGGATGTGTCTGTTTGACTGCGACAATGGGCGAGCACACTTGAGGTAGGGCTCGAATCAGTCGTCATCAGTAGAAGCGGGAAAATCGGATAAAGGAGACGGGAGCTAGTGTGCAAAGTTGTAGAAGAAGGTATAGATATAAATATACATATATATATATTTGTGATATATGCAAATATATATATATGTATATGTTTATATATATATATATAAATATATATATATATATATATTTATTGTTTTGATGCGATAGCAGAATGCAGAGAAGTAAAGCAATAAGGCAGGTGTATATATGAAGACGGAGTGTGTTTCCTCGATTGTCGGCTACATGATTCGCGGCCGAAGTGGGCAGATCGCTGCTCCTCTCGGCAGTCGCCTTCGAACCACGTCAGGCTTATCTGAAGTGGAGGGCGAAAAATGAGCGATGCTTGAAAATGATACCGAATGAAGAGTAGCAAAAAGCGATACAATCCTTTGGGCAATTTTGAGCAGCTTACCTTTACTCTGGAGCAACACTTGCCGCTGCCTTGCGAGGACGAGGCTGGAAGGAGGAGATAAAAATAAAGGGGTGCCATTAACGGTCTGCAAAGTAAATATCAAGTAAAATGTATCCTACAATTCTCTGCAGTTGTTTAGGCTTTCTTGTCTGATGTAGAAAGGCAGAAAGACGAAAAAAGATTGCTTTAACAGGCCTAAAGTGCAACTCGGACGCACACATATTT